ACATCTTTGTAAAAACTTACGCTTGATATTATCATAGAAACCACAAATACACTTCCCAAATTAAATTTTAGTTCATATTATAATACAATTCACCATGATTTTGTTTCTAAATACATGTATTAACACTTTTTGTTTAACATAGTAAATAAAATACATTTGAAAGTAACGAATCAAAGGACGCCGTACTAAATTCAAATTTAAATCCTAACGTACAAATAATCAATTGCAACATTCTTTATGAACAAAATATGAGAGCTATGTATGTTATAACGAATATGATGCATATTATAAACGTACATGTACATATATACAAATATATAATATAAAACGAATTTAAAATGCAATTTTAATTACAAAATTGTTATACCCATACATGTATTATATGTGTCCATTATGTTAAATCTGGTTACATATATTATGATCTTTAAATAAGTCTTATAAGTTAATATTAAGTAATTATAAACTAACAAACATAATAATCATAAACATATATAAGTTATAAGAATGCAGTAATAGAAGCGTCAGCTCAATAGTTGCATTCACTGATTAGTAAGTGTATATACATTTGCTACAACACATTAATAAAAGTAGAATTGAGCGTTTCTGGCAGCGTATTGTAGTACCCGCCTGACCTACGGCGCGACAGCCGAATAAAATAAGACCTAATTTAAACCTAATTCTTGTCTTTTGTTTATAGTTTATATAGGTTCAAGTTAAGTGTAATTTTATTTGGCTGCATCAATAGCTTTTTGCAAAAGTCATACATGATTACAGATTTTGTACTTTCATTGAATTTTTTGCGATGCGAAAAAATATTACTTGGATTTGTTTAAACAACTGCTTATAAAAAATATATAATATGTAACAACATTTGTAAATAAATAATTCCTCGTTGTAAAATTTAAGTGTAGGATATGAATGTGTATTCAGGCCCCGGAAAATTTCTGAACCCGGCCCCGCAAAAGGTCACGCCACCTCTGTATGTACTTCAGACACAAATGTTTCAAAATTGAATGATAGGAGTGATATACTTATTAAGGTCGCTGAATTTATTTCTTCGCTCTCCAGAAAGATATCGGAGAATAAATATAGTGCCCTATTTAAAAAACTGATTATCTTGCAGTCTCGTAAAAAGAAAATGACAACCAGAAAAACTATTTTCATCGTTGCGTGAAGCCCTTAAAATAGTGTAATTTTATTCTGAAGTTCTTTCACAAAATAATAAATAAAGACAATATTTAGGTGATTCCATTTAGCTGAGTTATTCTATATGTTATATTCTGTTTCATTGTATATAAGATTATGTATGAGGGTTAAAATAATAAGAGGAAAGATCGAACTGTACAGACTCCGTGGCGCAACGGTGACTCCGTGGCGCAACGGTAGCGCGTTCCATTTAGCTGAGTTATTCTATATGTTATATTCTGTTTCATTGTATATAAGATTATGTATGAGGGTTAAAATAATAAGAGGAAAGATCGAACTGTACAGACTCCGTGGCGCAACGGTAGCGCGTCTGACTCCAGATCAGAAGGTTGCGTGTTCAAATCACGTCGGGGTCAATTCGTATACTTCATTTTTAACCTTTTTCTTTAAGAAAAATTATTTTTTTAAACATGTTAAAAATCAAGTATATTTTTACATTAAAAGATATAAGGTCACATAAAATAATAAGTTAATTAGAATAATTATTATATACATATATAACCCTTACTCTATTTGTTTACATTCAATGCTGTGAAGTATAGAATACAGCATATATCATTATATCAAACATTATATGTATGCATAGAATGTGTTATATGTAAACACTATAGAATGAGATTGATTATCATTTTTCTACACTTTCAGACATGTTTATAAATTTCTATAAATAACGTAATAAAATAATCTTGATTATCTTAATTAGAATCAAGACGTGAATAAAGCTAACCTTCTTCCTTTTCATCCGTGTAATTTAACGCATAACAAGTTCTACGAAACCAAAAGAAATGGGCAAAGAAAATGATTCTGATAATACAAAAAAAAGGAGAAAATCAGTTAGTGGAAATTCTGGAATATCTTTGAAAGATGGAGATATATATAAGGTAATATCACTTTATACAGGAATTTCCTTGAATTTTCAAGTATCTATTCTTCATATTTAGGTTATAATTAGTTATGAAGAAAAGGAAGCTATAGAACGTTTACCAGAAAATGATTCTGAAAGTTTTCTATCTACCTGTGATAATATACGTGCGGCTATGAATAAAATTGCAAAATTAAAAACCACTGGGGATGTAAACGTTTGTATATCAATCAAGGAGAAACTAAATTTCATTAGAAAAATAAATGCAATTTAATAAGTTTAAATTTCATACTTTTAGGCTAAAGATGAAATACATGAACTTCAGATTCAGACATCATTAGCATTTATTGAACTAAAAAAATTGAATAGAATGGAAAAATTTCGTACAAAATTTGCAAGAGATTCTCTTATATCTTCAAAAAGTTCTGTCGATAGCAGACATTTACATTTACAAAACCTGTTATATGAAGTAATGCACTTAAAGAAAGAAGTTGTTAAATGTCTTCAATTCAAGTAATTGTTGTTTATTTAAAATTCTTTTAATTTAGTTTTAGACTTAATGTAATTGATATATAATGTGTATGTGTATATATTAATGTATAGATCTAAAGATGAATTGATACAACTTGTATCAGAAGAAGAATTTTACAAGGAAGCACCTGAAAATATTTCTAGGCTGGTATGAAGTAAATTTAAATTAAAGTTATCTTTGTTTACATATCTATATAAGATAATGTTGCAGGAAATAACAAAACATAATCCTCATCAACTAAGACTAGCACGCCTAGAATGGGAATTAACGCAAAGAAAACAACTAGCCGCTTTGTGTGATGAATTGACAGAGAATAAAAAGGCAGTAGCATTGAGTATCGAATCAAAACAAACTCGACTTGATAATCTTGCTCCACAACTTCGCACTATATTAGAAGTATTTTTGACATTTTTGTAGAGCATAGTTTTTTATTCATAATTGAACTAAAATCACCATTAATCTTTCCAGGCAAGCAAGCCATTACAAGAAAGCCTTGGTTTGTTGTTGGATAAAGTTAGACAAGAACATCATAAAGCGACATTACTTGCATCACCACTGTATGTTCTTTATGCAAAGGCATCTGCATACAGAGATGCATATGGTATCACCTTTTTTATTGCCCAAGTATTTTATATTTTATTGCTTTATTTTTGATGAGATTTTTCTTCCAGATAATTCTATAATAGTAAAAGTAGAAGGTGACGAAGAAGAAGCAAAGCGTGCAAATAATCAGGATGGATTACAAGAATCTGATTCAGATGCTGAAACTGTTTCTGAAAATGTTACAGAAGAAACACCTGTACATAAAAAAAGACATCATAGGTTATCTAGAGAAGCTAGGCAAGAAGAGAAAAGAACAAAACTGTTACAAAGGCATCCTTTAAACGTAAAGATAATTATTAAATTGAAAAGTTAGTATTCACAAAAATTAATAGATAATTATAAACTGAAATAGGATATATTAAAACACAAATTTTCAGATGAAACAAAGCTGACATTGCAATTTTATTACATGATGTCTCTGAAAGTTGTAACTGTGGAATCAAAATTAAAAACTGATGGTATTATGGGCATTAGTACAGGGTATATAGTATTTTATACACTACATCATTTATAGTGCAAATATTGTTGTTGCCTTTTTATTATAGTTGGCTACAAATTCTCTTTGTTTTTTTTTTTAATAGAGATATGCTTATATCAGAATCGATTTTACGGGAATTATATCCACGAGATTTAGGATTAGAGAGCCCAAATCCTGCTAATTATTATCAATTGAATCGACATAATTTAGGCCAATTTTCATCACTTGGATTAGGAATCCCATATAAATGGGCACAAAGAATGGCTGGATTACATTTTATTTCACTGGATACGAGAGAGCAAAAAGTATAAAAATTTTAATATAATATACACGTATTCATACATCGCGTTTATTACATAAATTATTTTCGAGTAATCTATATATTAATATTTTACAGTTTACGAGTTGCGAAATAACACAAGATAGTGTTGAATGTGTGTTGAGAGAAATCAAAAGACGTGTAATAGCAAGATTAGAGTTATGTACGGAGATTAGACAATTAGAATGTGGAAACTTCCCAAATTTTACTACTAATAACGATATTTTACCACAAAAACTTAGTACAATTTTACAAAGATTCTCAACAATTTCATGGAGTAATTATTGTAATAGCGTAAATCCCATTTTTCAAGAACAAGGATTAGTATCTTCGTTGGACATCTTTTATGAGGCTGTACTTCGTCGGGGCAATAGTAAGATATAAAATTATTTAATACATAAATCTTTCTTTTATATTATTCATTAATCCATTCATGATTCATTAAACTTACAATATTTGTTTTAGATGAATTAATTGCAAGAATAGCTATAAAACCAGATTATCCAAAAATAGCACCGGTATTTAATATAAGTATAAATCCTATAGTACCTGCATCTGTAGATATTTTAAGAGATATTGAAAGAGAAGTAAATGTCATGTGGATAAAACCGCCGACATTATCTGCGCAACTTCAGCGATTACGAGCATGTTTCGACATTTATTTGGAATCTGAAACTATTATACCAAAAGAAAAGATCTTCTTTCACCCTGTAAAAGGTCGTATTCGTGCTAGACCATATAAATATTTAGAGCTAGGCGGTGGAATTTTTATTCATCGTTAATCTAATACAATACAACATGATATATACGAATACATTTTTGCAAAATATATTTTATTGTCTATACAGTAATAGATACTTAAATGCCAATAGAATCATTCCGCTTAAATTCTACTACTTTCCACTGCTCTATGTCTCGAGAGTGCAGCATAACCCAATCTATATATTATAAATAAAATATTAGACATCAGGTAGTATTTCACGTCTTGCTAGATTTCTTCTTTTCCTTATCAAAGGGGTCAAAAGTTCATGGCTATTCCTGGAGTAAAATCGATGCCTGTTATAAAAAAATTACAATGTGAACTCCCGATTCATTGAAATTTAAGTATTTACTACTATATTATTTATTTTTTTATTTATGATTATAAAGGATAACTAAACAAAAGATTTCAAGTCAAAGATAGAGTAATTGGATATGTTAAGCCAGAATCCACCAAGAAGTATGCTTGCAGTTTATGTTTTAATTTTTTATTCTCTCTACAAAGCTTGTTACTTTCTTTCCTTAACATAATATTATTTACTTTTATATAATTATAATATTCCCAAAAGTTACTGATTTTAGCACATGATTCAGGAATCTGAAATAATTTGTTTGGAATATCATTGCAATAACATAAACTATATTTGTTCTATTTTGTTTCTTACATTAGTATCAGCACATTCATTATGTACTGTATTTTGTATAAAATATTTCTTCAAGTTAAAAAATAAAGGTTCCAAATTGGAACATATTTTAATTATTTCAAGAATTGTGCAACCTTTTTCCATAAGTCTTTGTAAATGCTAAAAATAAAAAGCATTATTATACCATAAAAGTGCAGGAAAATAATTATAATAAAAAACATATGTTTTCTTACTTTTAATACTTCATTACTTTTAATAGCCAATTTTTTCAACTGTACAGAATTTATCATTTGAGTTATAGTTAATTCATATTTAATATTTTTGTATTTTTCCTTTATTTTTATATCTGTTATTTGGAGTTTTGCAATTTTTTCATTTCTTTTTTGTGATAATATGTGTACATTGCCTTTTAATCTTTCAATAATACTTTGTAACTGTAAGCATACTTTCGGATATCGCAATATACACATTCGATCAATGTTATCTTGTTCTTTTAAATACTCATACTGTATTCTTTTGTTTTCAACTATTCTTTGATATTCATTTATTATTCTATATAACTGTTCCCAGAATTTTTCTATGTTTGAAAAAGACTGATGCAGAAGATTTGATGTCATATCTTCCTCCTAGCATATTTAATAAAATCATTTACAAAATTTTGATTAATAACTTCCTATATAGTAAATTAATATTATTACCAAGTACAAAATATTAAAAATATTAACAGCATTGTATGTTTTTCTTATAGTTTGTGTATGATTAAAAATTGTACTTTTTCTGCTTATATTATTAGAAATTTCCTTATAGCACTGTTCCATGTGATTTCTCAATTCAGTTAACTCTACCATATTATTTGTGTTAGTATTATTAAATGTACATGTATCATGTAACTCTGTCAATTTTTGTTTGTATTTCCCTATATAATATTAAAAGAAAGATTATGAATTTATATAAATTTGAAAATAAACATAAGAAATAACGATATTATAGATTCATAATTTTTATACAAATAGTTATGAAAATACCAATTATATTATTGATTAATAAAATATGTGTTTCTTGAAGTTTTTTGTGATCTGCATCTGCTATTTTTAATTCATTATATAAATAAGAAATTGTTGCATCCTTAGTTCTTATTGCTCTACCAAAAGTTGTATGAAGATGTGTTACATCTTTATGAAGTTCCTTACATTTTATTTGTCGCAAAACATACCTCCACTTTTCATTAATTTTGGCAATATTTAATTTTGAAAATACCTCTTCGCGTTTTAATTTATTCTGTAATAATTTAAATTTAAAATGCTATAATAAGAAAATTTAATAAATTATATCTTATACCTTAGTAAAAATAGCGATTAATTGTTGTTTACGCCTTTTGGTTTCTAACTCAAATTCAAGTCTATGTTGCATATAACGTACACGTTCTTCTTCGTTCATTCGAGCAAATTTACTACTTTTATTTTTTCTTCTTCTTAACATTTTTAACTAATGTTTCTTCCGAAAACATACAACCATTAATTAATCACTTTATGTATGTAGTACATTTATTATGTAACAAACTAATAACATATAAATAAATGTACTTGCTGCATGCAATACTTTAATAACAAAGGTGTATGTAATTTATATAAGGTAACCTTCCACTTAAAAAGCACATATAGTAATATGTTTGATCAATAGCAGCATCAAAATCTAGTATCAGAGATGAATAGGCTAGTATCTGTTGTTCGGGTATTTCTTGTCTGTTCATTGTGATGATATTGTTACAAGTTTCTGTATCTTCTCTAGTAGTAGACTTCAGTCATTTTCTTTTAAATGGTTTAATACTACCTGTTTTACAAAATAATTAAAAAATATGGTTGAAACTTTTTTGAGAAGAATGATTTTTCTTAAAATATCTTTCTGCGTGAAGTTTTTATAAAGTTTTTTGTAGCCTCACAATAAATTAAATCAATTCAATATTTTTTTTTTTTTCGTTATTATGGCGTGATAAGAAAAATATCGAATAATGCTTTCCTCCGGCATTGTTCTATCATAAAAAGTAAGGGCAAAACTGTAGAAAAGCTATTTCTCCGATTTCTATGTATTTTTGGATATGTTGTAAAACTCAAAACTTTGAACAACATTTTTCTATATATGTAAGGAGGTCACATAGCTTCCAAGATATTCCTGAAAAATTGCTGGTACCATAGTAGTGAATTCTATTTAGGCATGCGCCTGTAGTAGCGTAAGCATTAGTATTGGTTACGGCCACCGGTCGCTTATCTTCTGTTTATAAACAAGGGTTCGAGCGAGCTTCAAGACTCCGTGCACAACGTGCATATGCGAGATTGTTAGAAATGTCTTTAAAACTTAATTAAAAGTGAATATCATTAATATATTTGGGTTAGTTTTTTTCAATCCGGCAACCATAAGGAGGCCGGTAATGCTTCCATAAGATGGGAACAATTATTTTTTTATAATACATTGTCAATCTAATCAAGTTTAGAAATAGAATTAGACGGAGGTAGAATTAGACGGAGAACGTCGATTCACATCAGAGATCAGGCCACACACCGCAGACAGGGTGGCACCCAGATGTCTGGACATTCTTGGTGCATACCCTCAATAGTCTCAAGTATCCACCAGGGGTCTTGGCATTTTCATAGTTAAGGTCCTTCGGACCAAGCGAGTATTTCTTGTCTTAGATTTCCCTTTACGTTTATTGTCTACCACGTGTTAGTGTCACGTAAAATAACAAAATAAAAAAGGAATTTGAGGTGAAAAATAAAAAAAGAAAACTTTATTTTTTTTCTAACATCAATACACTTTACAATCTACTTCCGAGCTCTAGGCGTGACTTTCTAAGACTGACTCTTATGATTTTACTTTCGATCGAATCCGATTACTTTCTTTTGTCATCCCTCAACATCCCCACCGTCCATGCATTTGCTAGGCGTCCGCGATCGTTGCCACGTGCTCTTTCTTCTACAACCTTCGGTGGAAGGACCGTTGGGATGTTGATGGTTCATTAGGCACTTCAGCGATATACATTGTCGCCGAGTGCCGCCACATCTTTATCTCTATCGTCAGTCCGTCGGATTTGAAGTATGCCGGTCGTGACATTAGCCTAGAAAGTTGGTTTTCTTCACATCTGATATGTTCCGTTAGCAACTTTCTCGCGAGGGCGGCCAAAGCTCTTCCTGGTCCACCAACCGTCTTATTATCCAATCGGAGACGGTGTCTACTGCCCTCACTTCCTTAACCAAAATTGTCATCAAGAAATCCGATAGTCCCGTGTCCTTAGACACACCTACCCCTAGCCTTCCTCAGACATAGTATCGCCAGAAAAACTTACTTATTCTGTATCCTTAGAATAGTCAACATATCTTTACCGGTCTCTACCCTTATAATAGTCGCGTACTTAACGTATCGTTGTAACTAAGTCTTACATAACGTGGTTGGAGTAAATTGTGATTTATGTTAATTCAGTGTGTGTTACGTTGTGATTGCTGAATTCATAATAAAGTTTAATTAAAACAAAATTAATAGTTGTGTTACGTCTCAGCTATTTTATTTCATCAACCAACCCTTAAGTTTACGTGACAGTAGTAACGCATATGCCTCAGACATCTTAAACAAATGAATAATATCATCACAATTCCTAAGGGCTCATCGCCCTGGAAAACAATCTAATCCCTCGAAAAACCGTTCCAACCCATGCCTGTACTCTCCACAAACAACCTTCACAAACAAAGATAAAGCAGAAATACTAGCAAATCACTTCGGTCAGCTACATACAATAAAAAGCAATCAATGCAACGGTAAAAAGCTTCCTTGAAAACACTACCACTGAAAACATCAGCGGATGGATAAATCACATTATCCTTTGCAAAAAGCTCATGTTACACTCGAACACCTGAAATTGCAGAAAGCATCTGGTCCCTAACAAAATACATAATATATTGTTTAAAAATCTATCCAAAAAATGCATAGTTTGGTTCACATATATCCCAAATGGTATGTTCAAACTGGGAAATTTCCTAACGAAATGGAAAATGGTGATAATAACATAGCATTGAAACCAGGTAAAGATAAAGCAAAACCTTCAAGCTACAAATAAATTAATTTATTGCCCAAACCAAATGAGGTAAAAAGTCCATTTGCAAAAGTATATACACTTCGCGAGTAAATAAAATTATTCTTCATTCACGAATAAATGATCATTTTGTTTATATACATGTTTTTATATATATGTTATTTACATTTACTTTATATACATGTTATTTATCATTCAAATAAAACTTGTATCTTTCTAAATTAGGATGTTTGGTGATTAAATGGCTACAAACTATTTTTCAGACAGTTGAAAAATAATTAAAAAACGATAAAATGTTTCGAGATGTTTTAAAATATAAATAAAACCATTAAATTTTAGGTTTTTGTCAAATATTAATAACCAAACATATGCATACTTTTTCATCATTATAATATTAAGTGTATTAGTTGTGTATTTATTGTTTTATCTGTTTGAACCAGACGTCCAACCTAAGCCGATTCAAAAGTCAAAAGATATCTGATTACTTTCTTTGGAGCAAGTCATTTTTTCAACATTCAATAGAAGAGGCAAACCAAATAGGGAGTTACGGTACGCAGAACACCGCCTACATTCGTTATCATGATCCATTGACTAGGTAAACAGATCGCAGTAACACAACGAGATGCTACTGCACAAATGTGTACTCGAATTTATAAATAAATTGACCCTGTGTTGAACCGCATTATCACTAAAGGAAGTAACGAGTGTCAGTAAGAAGATTAAGTAATAAATGTGTATTCAGCCAAACATATTTGACCGAACCCGCCGAAATAGCTGCCACCTAAGTGCAGTCAGTGGCTCCATGAATTCTACTCATTGGACGAAACATGAATAGAAGCCAATATGGCGTCAAAATAACGTGTAAATACCCAAAAAATGTTCAGTTTTACATATCCATAACTTTTGAATTAGTGAATTCCGCAACTTAAAATTTACATTTTAGGATTCCATACATCAAAAACTACAAGATTGCAAATAAAAAAGTCAATAACTTTTGAACCCTTAAAGTACAGTTCAGTCCCAATTCTAAATATGAAACAATAAACATGTACATTTGCGTAATATGTGAAATTCTATAAATTAATGTATATTGTTTTATTGTAACTGAATTATAAAAATATTTTAATGCATTTAAAAAATGACGGAAATAAATTGGTATGCATCAAGTGTTTCTTATGACATGCATAAGGATTTTGACAGAAATACTTAAAATATTAAATTGCTTGTGCTTGTAGGATTGCCAAACCTATGAATTACAAAACAATACAGTTTGCAACTTTAGAAGAAGTAAGTGACCATCCCTTAAAACCTGTCACGGTGATGGTAAGTATAATTGAACAATATATAGGAAGATATAATATAAAAGATAAGTTTTATCTCCTGAGTTTTAAAATTTTATTATAGGTAATTCTACATATATAAAATATATTTATTCAATTACTGATGTAGTTGTTTTATTATATACAATTATATTATATACAATTATATTATATACAATTATATATGTTGTATTTTAAAGAATATAAAAATGCTAATTTTATATAAATTACGTCTTTAGTTAATTGATGGTCGCAGTGGGATAAAGCGTAATGTGTTACGAAGTACCAGTACTGGTTCTTCAACTGCTACATCAACACCAACTCATACACCTGTTCCAGGAAGTTCTTTAGTAGATCCATTATTAAGTCATTGTTCCTTTGATGGTTCAGATCCTCTTTCACAATTTGCTAAAGAAGAATTAGACCCATTATCTAAGATGGCTGCAGATGAGGTTTGTAAACTATGTTTTGTTTAAATATGAAAGAAAAAAATTATGTATCATTTATTTTTTAAAATATAATGCAGTGGGATTACTCTTGTAATACAGTAGTCACTAATAAAAAATCTATGGATACTGCAGAAGAATTAGTAGAACCATGGTTAGCAAGACGTACTACAATATTAAACAAATACACAACATCAGAAAAATTGTCAATAGTTACTAGTTTCTTACCAGGTGGTGAAAAAGGTATTATTTTTTTATTAATTAATAATATTAGTAAAACAAATAAAGCATAAATAAAAACGCACTCGCAAATTTATTATAGTTATTGTTAAAGTTCAACCAAGTGGTGGAGTTGTTGATAAAGTACGAACAAGATTGGAACAGTTAGATGATTTTGAAGAAGGATCTGTCAGACAAATGTTAGATTTATCTCAACAACAATATACTGCGAGAGTCGAACAATTAAATAATGAACTTGTACAAGCCTGGCATTCTGATCAAAGGGTTAAAGCACTTAAAATAGCAATTCAGGTTTTTATTTTCAGCTATTCGTTATTGGTTGTATTTAATTACGCGAAAGAGAAAATGTAAATTAATCCCAAATAATTTCAGTGTGCGAAGTTATTAGTAGATACATCTGTTATGGCTTTTTATCCTGGCAAGTTTGTTCTTATCACAGATATTTTAGATATTTTTGGGAAACTGGTTTATGAAAGATTAAAGGTTAAAGCTGAATATTACAAGTTAGTATTATCTTATTTTGGTATTGTTTATTGCTATATTTTATTCAGTAATGTGATTTGAGGAAGCGTTTTCGGTAACCACCTTCGTGTGGTATAAAAAATATAGCTATTGATTCAAAAACATTTATGATTTTGTTAGTATCCAAAAGCCTAATATATGATAATAATATATTTTTTAATTTTTATCATAGAATCTTTATTTTTTTTTAAATAATTGTATATATATAATACATTATATATCTTTCAGACCAGGAAATAAAATGCCCACAAGTTTACCTGATAATTTCACACCAGATATGGTACCTGAAAATGCGAAAGAAACTTGTAGAAATTGGTTTTACAAAATAGCATCGATAAGAGAACTAGTTCCACGTCTTTATGTTGAAATGGCAATAATAAAGTCTTATAGCTTTTTAACAACAAGGTAAATTACAAGTATTTTTTAGACAATTATACATATTTAATTATACGTTTAATGTCAATTAAAAGTTATATTATTTTTAGTGAATTTAACACTGCTTTACTGCGAATAACGCGAATGATAAGAGGTATCGGAAATCCTCTCATAGCTGTATATGCTAGATGTTATTTATGCCGAGTGGGATTAGCTTTAAATAAAACGTCTGATTTTGAGTTTGTGAGGGAGAACTTTTATGATTTCCTCTTTACATACCAACAGCTGTTTGGGCAATTTGTGAAAACTGAATTAATTGAGCAAAATATG